TAAAAAAAAAAAAAAAAGGCAATCAAAATGAAACGGAGGACGTATTAATTACATTAAAAATGTTCTTGCACGCATCTAAGTTTAAATAATTATAATATAATTAATCAAAGCAGATTCAAGCCACGCACTATTTTTTAATCGATCACCCTCTATTTCCACGATGAACAGGGACCCGGTTATGGGCACCTCATAAATTATTATTTTATTTTTTTAGTAGGCACAATTGGAATAGTGATGCAGAATTACGATATGATAGGATCACTATTTAAATCATAATTATTGTTGTAGTATTAGATGCAGTTAGTTCAATGAGGCCTGACGTCACCCCTTAAATTACTTATTTACCCATTTAGATGAAAAGTAAAAATATATTGAAGGGGAAATTTCCCTGCTCGTGAGATAGCATTCAAGCTCTATTTAAGTCCATTCGTTGCCCTCATTTCTGCTCTCACAACACCATCTCCTTTTCTCTCTCTCTGAGTTTGTCGGCCTGTGCAATCATTCTCGGTGTCTCTCTAAGCATAATGGCTGAAATTGTCCTTGCTCTCGTATCCCCTTTCATACAGGATGCAGTTACCAGAGCAATTTCGTTTGCAGGTGAAAAAATCAGCCTCGATTGGGATTTCGAGAAGGAGCTGAGGGAGCTTGCTATGTTGCTAGCTATGATTCAAGAAGTGCTCAAAGATGCTGAGAAGAAACAGGAAAGCAACCAAGCTGTAAGGCTTTGGTTACAGCATCTTGCAGATGTAGCTTATGATGCAGTAGATGTGCTGGATGAGTACGCTTATGAGGTCCTTAAGCACAAAGCCAAGACTCAAGGCCAGAGGGGGAAACATGTGAGCTCTTCGTCTCGTCTCTCCCAGACTCAAGGCCAAAGGAGGACACAGGTGCGCTAGCTGTTTCACTTGTCTTTCCGAGCCCACTTCCTTTCCTTCTTAAATTATTAATCATTAAATCTTTATTTTTCATCACAAATTATTATTAATGATAAAATTTAAACCGTTAATAAAATTTTTATCATTAATGCTCTTAGTGACAAATTAAACACTTGTCACAGAAAATAATTTTATAGTGATAGAAAAAATTGACATTGTTAACAAATTATTTATAACAATTTTATTCATCACAAATGTAATTATGATGTAAAATTTAGTCATTAATTATTAAAATTAATATTAAATAAAAAAAATTATTTATATAATCATAACACAAATATTTTAACAAAAATT